GGCCTTTCATATATGGCTTTTATGATCTCGAGGTATGATCCTTCTATCCCTACTTTCTGGAGGATTTTTATCAATAAAGGATGCTGTATTTTCCCAAATGCTTTCTCTGCATCTGTTGAGAGGGTTCTTGTCCTTTCTTTTATTGATGTGAAGAATCACATTGATTGTTTTGCGGATATTAAATCAGCCCTGCATCCCAGGTATAAATCCCACTTGGTTATGGTGAATACTTTTTTTAATGTATTGTTGGATCTGGTTAGCTAATATCTTGTTGAGGATTTTTGCATCCATGTTCATCAGAGAAATTGGTCTATAGTTCGCCTTTTAGTGGGGTCTCTGGCTGGTTTGGGGATCAAGGTAATACTAGCTTCATAGAAAGAGTTTAGAACTTTTCTTTCCATTTCTATTTTTTGGAACATCTTCAAGAGAGTAGGTGTTAACTCTTCCCTATGTGTTTGATAGGATTCCCCTGGAAAGCCATCTGGCCCTGGACTGTTGCTTTTTGGGAGATTTTTGATTACTAATTCGATTTCTTTACTGGTTATGGGTTTGTTCAAATTTTCCATTTCTTCCTGTTTTAGTTTTGATAGTGTATGTGTGTCTAGGAATTTGTCCATTTCTTCCAGATTGCCCATTTTATTGTCATATAATTGCTCATAATGTTCTCTTATTGTTTTTATTTCTTCTGTGTTGGTTGTGATCTCTCCTCTTTCATTCTTGATTTTATTTATATGGGTCCTTTCCTTTTTCTTTTTAATCAAACTGGCTAGTGGTTTATAAATTTTGTTAATTCTTTCAAGGAACCAGCTTCTGGTTTCATTGATCTGTTCTACTAGTTTTTTTTTTTTTCTTCTTCTTCTTTTTTTGGTTTCGATAGCATTAATTTCTGCTTTAATCTTTATTATTTCATGTCTTCTGCTGGTTTGGGTTTTATTTGCTGTTCTTTTTCCAGCTCCTTAAGATGTAAGGTTAGGTTGTGTATCTGAGGTCTTTCTTCCTTCTTCAGGAAGGCCTGGATTGCTATATACTTTCCTCTTATGACAGCCTTTCCTGCATCCCAGAGATTTGGGATTGTGGTGTTATCATTTTCATTGGCTTTATGAACTTTTTAATTTCCTCTTTAACTTCTTGGTTATCCCATTCATTCTTTAGTAGGATGGTATTTACTCTCCAAGTATTTGTTACCTTTCCAAATTGTTTCTTGTGGTTGATTTTAAGTTTCACAGCGTTGTTGTCTGAAAATATGCATGGTATGATCTTGATCTTTTTGTACTTGTTGAGGGCTGATTTGTGTCCAAGTATGTGGTCTATTCTGGAGAATGTTCCAGGTGCACTGGAGAAGAATGTATATTCTGCTGCTTTAGGATGAAATGCTCTGAATATATCTGTTAAGTCCATCTGGTACAGTGTGTCATTCAAAGCCATTGTTTCCTTGTTAATTTTTTTATTAGATGACCTGTCCATTGCTGTGAGTGGGGTGTTGAAGTCTCCTACTATTATGGTATTACTATCAATGAGTTTCTTTATGTTTGTGATTAATTGATTTATATATTTGGGCGCTCTCACATTTGGAGCATAAATATTTACAATTGTTAGGTCTTCTTGGTGGATAGACCCCTTGATTATGATATAATGCCCTTCTGCATCTCTTGATACAGTATTTATTTTAAAGTCTAGATTGTCTGATGTAAGTATGGCTACTCCAGCTTTCTTTTGGTGACCATTAGCATGATAGATGGTTCTCCATTCCCTTACTTTCAATCTGAAGGTGTCTTTAGGTCTAAAGTGGGTGTCTTGTAAAGAGCATATAGATGGGTCTTGTTTTCTTATCTACTCTGTTACCCTATGTCTTTCGATTGGAACATTTAGTCCATTGATGTTTAGAGTGAGTACTGAAAGATATGAATTTATTGCCATTATGTTGCTTATAGAGGTGGTTTCTGATGGTGTTCTCTGGTCCTTTCTAGTCTTTGTTGCTTTTAGTATTTATTTATTTATTTATTTATTTATTTTTCATCTTTTCTCCCCTCAGAGAGTCCCCCTTAAAATTTCTTGCAAGCCTGGTTTAGTGGTCACAAACTCCTTTAATTTTTGTTTGTCTGGGAAACTCTTTATCTCTCCTTCTATTTTGAATGACAGCCTGCTGGGTAAAGAATTCTTGGCTGCATATTTATCTGATTCAGCACATTGAATATATCCTGCCACTCCTTTCTGGCCTGCCAAGTTTCTGTGGATAGGTCTGCTGCAAACCTGATCTGTCTTCCCTGGTAGGTTAAGGATTTTTTTCCCTTGCTGCTTTCATGATTCTCTCCTTGCCTGAGTATTTTGTGAATTTAACTATGATATGCCTTGTTGATGGTCGGTTTTTGTTGAATCTAATGGGAGTTCTCTGTGCTTCCTGGATTTTGATGTCTGTGTCTTTCCCCAGGTTAGAAGTTTTCTGCTATGATTTGCTCACATAACCCTTCTACCCCTATTTCTCTCTCTTTCTCTTTTGGGACCTCTATTCTGATGTTCTTCCTTTTTAATGAGTCACTGATTTCTCGTAATTCTTAAATTGTGCTCCTTTGCCTTAATCTCCCTCTTTTTTTTCTGCTTCATTATTCTCCATAAGTTTGTCTATATCACTGATTCTCTGTCCTGCCTCATCCATCCTTGCCACCGCGGCATCCATGTGAGATTTCAGCTTAATTATAGCATTTTTTAATTTCATCCTGACTAGCTTTTACTTCTTTTATCTCCGCAGAAGGGGATTCTAATCTATTTTCAACTTCAGCTAGTATTCTTATTATCATGATTCTAAATTCTGATTCAGACATCTTGCTTATACAAGTGTTAGTTAAGTCCCTGGCTGTCATTTCTTCCTGCTCTTTCTTTTGTGGTGAATTCCTTCATTTCATCATTTTGAAGGGAGAAAAAGGAATTTGATGGAAGAAAAGAAGTAAAATCTTGTCAGGATGAAATTAAAAAATGCTATAACTGAGCTGAAATGTCATATGGATGCCACAGTGGCAAGGATGGATGAGGCAGGACAGAGAATCAGCGATATAGACAAACTTATGGAGAATAATGAAGCAGAAAAAAAGAGGGAGATTAAGGCAAAGGAGAATAATTTAAGAACTAAGAGAAATCAGTGACTCATTTTCTCCCTTTTCTCCCTTCAAATTTCATCATTTTGAAGGGAGAAAAGGAATTAATGAGGTAAAAAAAAATTAACATTAAAAATATATTAAAATTTAAAAAAATATATTAAAATTAAAAAATTAAAAACAAACACACACACAAAAATCAAATAAATGATGCTAGATCCTGGGTGTGTTTTGGTGTGTGTGTTGAAAGGGGCTTGGTAGATTAGAGAAAAAAGGAGAAAGAAAAAAAAAAGGAAATCTTTTGAAAATTTGAAAAAATGAATACACTGAAGTAGACTAAAATGAAATGATGGAACTAAAATAGAATTTAAAAAAACTTACACAAAAGTAAAAAATACAGTAGAAAAAAATTAAAGAAAAATATTTTTAATGCAAACTGAAAGTAAAAATGAATTTTTTCTCTCTCTGTATTCAAGAAAAAGAAATGAAAAAGAGAAAAAAGAAAAAAAAGAAAGAAAATTGAATAGATGGACCAGCAAACAGATTGAAATACGATTGAAATTACTTTGTTTTCCCCTAGAAGTGAAACTATGAAGGGCTTTATAGTCCATAAACTAAGCAGGCTGAGACTTGTGTCCTGAAGAGGGAGGTTGGCCCTTTGGGCGGGGCTTAGTGTAACGACTCGGTTGTCCACTAGATGGCGCAGCTAGCTTACTGGGGTGGGTTGTTGTGGTGCTGCAGGTGTGTGTGTGCGCGCGCGCATGCGCGGGATGGTGAAAATGGTGTCACCTGGTTACCCGCTCTCTAATATCCGAACTCTGTTCTCCCTGATCAGCAATCGCACAACCGTCTTCTGTCTTCGGCTTCCGCCCACTCCCCGCTCTTACACTGTCCGTGACCAAGCCCCAGACAGCTCCTCCCTCCTGAGTTTTATGTCAGATGCGGCTGTGTCTCCCGACCCCTTACTTCTGAGGGACCGCGGCTCTGACCCTTTCTGCCCCTCTGCGGAGGGTCTCACCGAGCAATGGCCGGGTGCCGGCTGCACCCGGGAACGTTCGTGGGACCCTGCTGGTGCCGACGCCCCGAGACTGCCCCTGGGGGCCAGCCCGCCCCAGAGAAAGTTCGTGGGATCCTGTAGCAGCGGCGTTTCAGGGACTATGGAAAATCACGACACGCATCTGGCACCGGGCTCCGCCCCCAGCCTCCTTGTTCCAGCACCAGGAATGTGGCTGTTCTCCTGGGTCCACCGGGGTCTTTGCCTGTGCGAGGGCCAGTCTGCCTCTACCAGGTGTCCTCCCAGCGGGGGAACCGTCTCTCCCGTGTGGCCCGAAGCCCCCCGGACTCCACTCTGCTCCTGGGGATGCGCCCTTCCCACCCGAGCGCCACCAGGTATGGAGCTGTGGCATTTCAGCCTCTGCGCTCCCCCTATTTATAGTCTTAAGGGAATTTAAACCCTCTCCTTTCTCCTTTCTCCCTTTTTAGTTCAGTCCCTGTGGGTGTTCCCACTTTTCCACTTTCTCTCCAGCTGCTTTTGGGGGGGGGTGCCTTTCCCGTATTCTCCCCCCCGTCTCCATCCTCTCTCCACACACAAAAGTGGCTCCTTGCCCTATGTGGCTTCTCTCTCCCCCAGTTCACCTCTCCGCGCCGTGTACCTGCTGAGTTCTGTGGTTCAGGTTGTGCAGATTGTTGTGTGAATCCTCAGATCAGTTTTCTAGGTGTGCAGGATGGTTTAGTGTTGGTCTGGCTGTATTTCATGGATGTGAGACACACAAAAACTTCCATGCTATTCCGCCATCTTGGCTCCTCCCCTCTACAATCTGCTTATTTTTCTACAATAATTAGACTATCCGTTTATCCATGCAATCCAGAAGAATTGAGGAAGAACATGAGAAAGAAAGAAATAACAGCTGCTGAATTAGGATGGTAGGATTTGGAGTAATTTTCTGTTTTTCACAACTGTGAGTTTTCTCTGTTGTGTTTTAAAGATATTCAGTCAGTGAAATGCGAGAGCATTATAGCTTCTTGTACCTGGAGTTCACGGCGAGGATCATGGCTTGATCACCGAACAGGCCTGAGTATACATCCCATAGGCTGGTAGCTATGTGCTCCTGGAAAAAAGAAAAGAATAAATGATGGCAGCCCTTGAGGCATCACACGTAGTTCTCTCCTTCACCGAGAGCAACGGACCAAACTGGACGGGACTAGAAGTCCAAGAGTTCATAGTGTTGAGACCAAATTAATTTAAACTCATGATAGCATCTTGGCCTAAATGGTGGCCTTTTACAGGCAACCACCGTGCTTCTATAAGTAGCATTTCTGGACAAAATGTTGTCAAGGATGCCCTCTACGACACTGTAACTGTTAAGTACAGTCTACTCGGTGTGGGGTCTCTTGATAAAAATACCAGCAGGATGATTTAAACCAGGACTTACTGAAGAATGTCTTCTGCTATAGAGTGAGAACCATGTTATAGGTTAATGTACAGCGATTTAAACTTATCAATTACAATCAGTGAGATCCTATGCAGACTTTCCAGATCTTTATTGAAGAAACTGGAGACCTGAGGCAAGTCTGGTGGAGGAGTATCTCTTTTCTTGCATGCATCCTTATCTTGTTTATACAAGCCTCTGTGGCAATGTCACTTCTTGCATCGTAACCAATAGTGCTGTTTCCGGAAATTCCCAGCCTGTACTTCTGGAACAACTCAACGTTCTTTTTTAGGTGCTGCTGTAAGATAATGCTATTTCTGAGGGTATTTATTCTCTCTAATGCATAGGCAAACACCTGCCACTGACTACTTATCACCCTGAAAAAAGCCCTGTCCTGTCTGCTCAGTGCCGCTCCTCTGACTCCAGTATTGAGTACCCTGTGGGGTCTATGTCTTACCTTTGTGGGATGTCAGAATTAAGCCAGTAGATAGGGCTATATGCCTGTGAAGTCCATGTTATGGACTGCAAGCTTGTGTCCCCTCCAAGACCATATGTTGAAACTCGAATCCCCAGTGCGATGGTATTTGGAAATGGGCCTTTGGGAGATAATGAGGCTCAGATGAAGTAATGAGAGTAGGACTCCAAGATGGGATCCGTGCCCTTATAAGAGAGATCCAAAAGAGCTCACTTTCTCTCTCTCTCTGCCACGTGAGGATGCAGGGAGGTGGCCGCCGTCTGAAAACCAGGGGGACCAACCTCACTCAGACATTAAATCTGTCGTATTCTTTTTAAAAAAATTGTTTTTAATGTTTATTTAATTTTGAGACAGAGAGAGAGAACATGAGCAGGGGAGGGGCAGAGAGAGAGGGAGACACAGAATCTGAAATAGGCTCCAGGCTCTGAGCGGTCAGCGCAGAGCCGGCCGCAGGGCTCCAACTCATCAACTGCAAGATCAAGACCTGAGCCGAAGCCAGACGCTCAACCGACGAAACCACCCAGGTGCCCCAAATCTGTCATATTCTGATCTTGGCTTTCCCAGACTCTAGAACTGTGAGACACCTCCGCTGTTTAAGCCACTCAGTCCATGGAATCTTGTTAAATCAGCCAGAACTAAGACATTTAAGAAACTTCCTGTTTGGGATTGGAACTAAAAGCTGGCATTTCCCCAGTAGGCACAAGTATCCTGCCATGACCTTCCTGGGTAACAGCACCCTGAACGCTTTCTAACACCCCCTTCCCTGGGCTGTGCTGAGACCGAGTGGTGTAAAAGACTTATTCTTCTTTCTCTAAAATATTTATATCCATACCTATCGTTGATTCCTAACAACACCAAATGTGATTTTATTCAATCTTAAGAGAATAAGTCTTTGCTATGTTGTTTATTAGCATATCTCACATTATCATTACGTAGAGAACATGAAACCTACATGGCAGACAACTCTCACTGTGACATGGGAACTATAAATGGTGGTTTGTCTAGTTTGAAATTAGACATTTTTGTCCTTGGCACTGTTTTCTTTCAATTTGGCCAGAAATACACTAGTATTTCTCTGGGCAGTGACTAATAGCATGTTCTGTCACTATATAAGCAATGTTCTTCTGGGACTATTGCCTCACTGGGAACTTTCCTCATAGACAAAGTTCTAATTGGGTGTTAGTCCTTGGAAATCAGTTTGTAACACTTCAAATTGAAATCCGTGGTTCTCAACCCTGGCTGTACACTCAGGGCCTGAAAAATAACCAATTTTGATTCCTGGGCCACACCTCCAGAGATTTAAGAGGTCTGTATTCAAGATCACACACACACACACACACACACACACACACACACACACACACAGAGCAAGGCTTCCAGGTGATTCTGAAGTACATCCAGGATTGAGCAGCACTTTTTTTTTTTTTTTAATTTTTTTTTTTCAACGTTTATTTTATTTTTGGGACAGAGAGAGACAGAGCATGAATGGGGGAGGGGCAGAGAGAGAGGGAGACACAGAATCGGAAACAGGCTCCAGGCTCTGAGCCATCAGTCCAGAGCCTGACGCGGGGCTCGAACTCACGGACCGCGAGATCGTGACCTGGCTGAAATCGGACGCTTAACCGACTGCGCCACCCAGGTGCCCCTGAGCAGCACTTTTTAAGTGAACTATTTCCACTCAACCCTGGAGCTTGCTTCACAGTAATACATTGTCAATTAGTTGATCTATAATAACACAGACTTCTGTTCCCCATCTGTCAGCCAGCTTCTCTTTATTTTCGTGGAGCCAAACTTGTTACTACAACTCCATCACCAGGTTATTGTTCTGCTCACATTACCTTCACATCACACTGTTGTTGATTAACTGAGTTACAGCACACCCCTTCCTTCTCGTGAACGTGCTTTTGCCTGTGCTATAGGTACCACTGATATTAATGTAATACCCAAAGCCAGTGCGCATCTCAGTAAGCAATAGGTTTGTCTAACATCTATACGTGGGTTCTGAACTGGTGTGAACCTAGGAAGTTACAGGAATTGGCCAGGAATTTTACCTGCTTTCCCCAGTTAGGCTCTTTGTTATTATTCAGACTAAATAACATGCTCACCGGAGTTCCCTGAAATTTCTCAGGGCCACCTCTGGGGAGTTAGGACTATCATTCTGGCTTTAACTTCTGTTACATGGATAAGTTCTCTTTCATCTCATTTTCAATTACTCCTTCATCACTATGGCTCTTCACTGGAAACCCACAGTAAATGATAAGATGGTCACAATCCTGGAAATCTATACTTTGTAATATATTTCATAATACTAGCTTCTAGGACCAGCCTGGTAGGACTTAAGCTTCCATATTTATTATTTTGGCTTTCTTCTTTAAGCTGACCATCTGCTTTTTATATATATCTTATATCACTGACATTTTTGTTCAATATCTGTTGTCATTCTTGGCCAGAAAAATTGGAGTCGTGCCAGTTTGACTAGTTCCTTAAACCTCAGATGTTTCAAATCACAGACATTATGTGTTTCTGATGCCACCTTAGCCCGAGGGCAAATGGTATTATCATAATAATCATTATTCTGAGGGAATTTGAACTCCCTTCTAGTAATTCTCAAGCAATCCTGGGAATGCTCAAAGGGAACCATTTGGTTCCATTCCAACCATTAACATTGCAATGGCCAAAGGGATCCAAGAGGACTTGGTCCTCTAGAATATAATGTGAGTCTGCACCTTTTCCTTCATCTCTAGCTCCCTAGAATGTCTCTTTTCTTTGACAAAAGCAAAATACTAAAGTGCAGAGAGATGAGGAATCTGAATTGTGGGCATGAATATCCATGCATTGAGAAAGGGTTTAATGCTTTCGAGAAGTAGCTCTCAACCCTGGCTGAGCCTTAAAATCATCTTCGGATACCTTCAAAAGATCCACATGCCTAGAACTCACCCCACACCAGTGAATCCAGATCTCTGGAGGTATGGCCCTAGCAATAGTTTTTTGTTTTTGTTTCTGAAGCTCCATATATAATTGTAATACGAAGCCGGAATTGAGAACCACTGTGTTACAGGACACGAAAGAAGGCCTTCTGGCCAGAGCAAAGCGTGCTAAGTCATGGGCCCAGAGAGGCCAGATCACAGCAAGTCCTCTTGTGAGGCCTAAAGATTTGCTACTCATCTTTAAGAACAAGTGGGTGTGTGGGGGGGGGGGGGGGGGGGACGTAGTCATTTAATCAAAAGGGGGACAAGGTCACAAGGCCGCTTGATTGAACAAGGTAAACTGATTACAAGGAGAACAGTTAAGGCTCATGTTACTCAGGAGAGAGACTATAATAGAAGAGGGTTGGTTCCGGTGTCAACAGAGGAAATAAGAGAGATTTAAGAGATACATAGTCACTGGTGACAGTGCTTAAAGGTCCCAAAAGAAAAAGACCGAAAAACATCTTTAGGATTTGGAGCCACAAAGGCCACTGGAGACTGGAAAAGATAAGACAATCAATGTACTGAGAGAAAATATTTGCCAATCATATAATCTACACTCAATAACCGTACAGTCTATAAAATACCCCAAAATAAATGGTCAAGAAATGTCCAGGGTCTACATGAAGAAAAAAACTTTACTGAAGATTCAAGTAAGGGGAAAGAAACATACATGTGCCAGATGACAAGACAGTAATTTAAAGAAGTAAATTCTCTATAAATTAATCTGTAAATTTAGTGCAATTCTAATCAAAATGCCAAAGAAATTCTGGGAGAAATTTGACAAGTATATTTCAAAGTCCATCTGGAAGTACAAATGAGTAAAATTAGCTGATATATTTTTGAAAAAGAGAAATAAGGGGATAGATTTGTCTAATTAGAGACAGAAAGATTTTGGTTTATATATTTGAGCTATCTTTAGTAGTTTTAAAGTGTGATAACTCCTTTATTGCTGACTTGCTATGATGACATCGCCTGTCCCTGTGGAAGCCAAAACATGCTGCTGAGGCTGTTCCTGCCCTCTGGTCAAAGGCATTGATGCTGCTGCTAATCCTTGCTGATAGGGTCCCATGGCTGCTGGTAGCCGTTATCAAGAGAATCGGGGTCGCACAAAAGGGGCTCTTGCTTTAGAGCAAGAGCCACAGGCAACCTCATTTACTATCATCATTTCCAGCTGCTTGTTGCTTTTCTCTCTCATAGCAGCCCCATCGTCCTAGGACTCAGCAGCTGCCTCGGTGAGAGCGTCTCCTCTCCTCAACACCATCCGCTTACCCTTGAACCACACCTTGATAATCTCTTCACTTGAGATGTGCTCTTTTCCTGCAGGCTCTTTCATTTGTTAGTTCTGTCTCAATGGGAGTGGTCCAGACGTGCTTGAAGCCTAGCAGGAACTCAATTTAGGCTCAAACCCCGACGCCCATGTCAAACAAGTTTCTGTTTTATATCCTATGGGCCATCTGACCATGTTTTTCTTTTTCTTTTGTTTCCTGTATTCGACTATTTCCAACCTAAGTCTATGTCACAATTTGATTTCTGGACTTGATCGTTTCCACAGCTAAGAGAAATAGAGACCCTGCTTCTGAAAACAAAGTAAGGCCTGAATTGTAGTGCAGTTTTCACCTTTGTAGGACCATGTTCTTGAAGCTGTCTCACTAATTCCTACTGTGACTCCAGAGACCTTGGAGCTCAACTCCATGAGTTTGTATCCTGGCTCTGCCACTTGGCAGCTAAATGGGCAGGTCACTTGCTGCCCTGTTTCTTCAATTGCCAGGAGGGGATAGCAATAGTACTCACCGTGGAGGGCCGTCACAAGGATTAAATGACTTAGTTATTTAAAGCCATTGGAGCATGACTACCATGTTATAAATGCCATGGACGTGTTAGCTGTTCTCCCTATGATTGGAGCAGGGAAGGGGTTCCCTCTCTCATGGCTCCCCTCACCTTCTTGTCTTTATTTCTCCAGGTCATGGCTGTGAATTGGGAAAAACAGTTTTCTTTTTCTGTCTGCTCATGGCATTACTTCTGATCCAGTTTGGTGGGAAGGGGTTTCACAGTGATGATGGAAGGAAGGATATGAGGCTGTTGTAGGAGATCATTTAGGAGATGGGGGGTGGGTAAGTGGGGAAAGCAGTGGGATGGTGGGTCAAAACTTTCATCCTTTTGAATTAGTGTTGAAAGTCATTTCCAGGGGGCACATGAGGGTAAGCAAGAATATGATTCTTCAGGGAAGAAAAAAACTAAAGCCAGTTTTCAATCAAACTGCCTCTTTCCTTGCCCCAGGTACATGTATTTTAAACACGAATTATGATATCCTTGTAATAGAGACAGTGAACAAGTTATTTTGTTTTACTTTATTTTTTTTTTTTTTTACCCGGGAGATTTCAGTTACATTAATGTCTTCTAGAATCTCACTTACCAGGCGATGCCATTTCACGCTGGACCGTAGACACTGGAGACCGGTGACTAGTCAGGGAGAAGAAGGAGACTAGTTAAAACGGAATCAACTTAATCTCTTATCATCTTAGCGGGATGTATCCCCAAATTTGAGGCTAGTATGATCTTGATGGCAAAGCTCATCAAGGATAGTATGCACACACACCCACACACACACACACACTAAAACTTCAGATACTGAACAACACTTAATAAAAAGGTTAGCAGACAGAATACAGAGACGCATTAAAAGAATAATAAACTATAACCAAGTGGTATTTATTCCAAACATGCAGGGATGGTTCAATAAAAGAGAGCTCATAACACAATTATTAACATTAATTGCTTTAAAAAGAAGAAAATTTACATAATAATTTTTGTGGAGGCAAAAAAATCTGATAAAATTGTAAGCATATTCTTTTTTTTAAGTTTGTTAATTTATTTTGAGAGAGTCAGAGACAGCACGAGTGAGGGAGGGGAAAGGGGGATGGGGAGAGAGGGAGAATCCCAAGCAGGCTCTGCACTGTCAGCACAGAGCCCGATGCGGGGCTCGAACTCATGTACCCAGAGATCATGACCTGAGACAAAATCAAGAGTCAGATGCCTAACTGACTGAGCCACACAAGCACCCCGTTTTGTAAGCCTATTCTTGATAACAGTTCTTAATAAAGTAGATATGTGGTTAATTTCTCAATGTGATATATAAGCACAAAAGCTAGGACCAGATATAATAAGGAAATAATTAGAAGCATTCTCATTGAAATAAAGAATGAGACAAAACTTTCTACCACTATTTGCCATTTCTGCCCATAACCATCCAGTCTTTTTATTTAAAAAAACTTTTTTTTAGTTTATTTATTTTGAAAGAGAGAGCAAGAGTATTAGCGGAGGAAGGTCAGAGAGAGAGAGACAGACAGAATCTCAAGCAGGCTCCGCACTGTCAGCACAGAGCCCGACTCGAGGCTCAATCTCACTAACCGTGAGGTCATGACCTGAGCCAAAATCAAGAGTCAGATGCTGAACCCACTGAGCCACCCAGGTACCTCATTATCCAGTATTTTTAGAAAATAGAAATAATATATTACAAAGGAAAAATATATTATTTTTTAATTATTTACTTCATGGACAATAATGTGAATGCTCTTTAAATTTCTCTATGTTATCAGAATGACGAGTTAGATTGGAGTTATCAGTTACTGAAATATTTGGAAAATTCTTTTATAGAAACTTTAGGACCTGGGATACTTTTGTTTGTTTGAGGAGATAGCCCCTTTGGTAATTATTCTTCTTCCATTTTAATTGCTCTGCATAGATTTTCTAGGTCTTCTGAAGTTCTTTAGATTTTTTTTTTTTGGAATAATTTTAGATTTTCAGAAAATTTGCAAAGCTAGTAAGAGATTTCGTATACCCCTCACGCAGCTTCCCCTAATGTTAGCATTGTACGTTACCATGGCACATTTGTCAAAGCTAAGAAATTAATATTAGTACGGTTCTATTAACTAAACTATAGAGTTCATGTGGATTTCACCCATTTTTCCCATTCCAGGATCCCACTGCATTCAGTCATCCTGCTGCCTTAGTTTCCTCTGACCTGTAACTGTTTTTGCAACTTTCCCTTGTTCATGACCTTGACAGTTTTGAAAAGGACTAGTCAGGTATTTTGCAGACTGTCCCTTGATTTGCATTTGTCGGGTGTTTTCCTCTTAATAAGACTGGGTTTTTAGGAAAGAATGTCACTCAAGTGAAGTGTCCTCTTCATCATGAGAAAGTATCAAAATTTGAGCTTAGTAGTCTTCTTATTCCTCTCATCAAATTCAGGAATTCAACCTTGTCTTTATGTATGCCTTCTTTTTGTTTGTTTGTTTTTGTTTTGTTTTTAAATATGAAATTTGCTGGCAAATTGGTTTCCATACAACACCCAGTGCTCATCCCAAAAGGTGCCCTCCTCAATACCCATCACCCACCCTTCCCTCCCTCCCACCCCCCATCAACCCTCAGTTTATTCTCAGTTTTTAACAGTCTCTTATGCTTTGGCTCTCTCCCTCTCTAACCTCTTTTTTTTTCTTCCCCTCCCCCATGGACTTCTGTTAAGTTTCTCAGGATCCACATAAGAGTGAAAACATATGGTATCTGTCTTTCTCTGTAGGACTTATTTCACTTTAATGTAACACTCTCCAGTTCCATCCATGTTGCTACAAAAGGCCATATTTTATTCTTTTTCATTGCCGTGTAGTACTCTGTTGTGTATATAAACCACAATTTCTTTATCCATTCGTCAGTTGATGGACATTTAGGCTCTTTCCATAATTTGGCTATTGTTGAAAGTGCTGCTATAAACATTGGGGTACAAGTGCCCCTATGCATCAGCTCTCTTGTATCCCTTGAATGTATGCCTTCTTTTTTGACTGCCTTTTTTGGATTTATTTACTTACTTACTTATTTATTTTCTAACTTCTTGCTTTGGATATATGATTCAATTACTTTCATTCTTTCTGGTAGTCTAAATATTTAAGGTTATGGATCTTTTTCTGTTTGCAGTTTTGGCTGTGTGCTGTAGGTCCTGCGATGTGTTACCAACATTCTGCAATTTCTGTATTAATTTCCTCATTGACCCAAGAATTGTTCAAAATAGAGTACACAGATGGCAAAATGGTAGGTTGTTTTTTGTTTTCGTCTTTGCTTAGACTCATAAGTTTGTTATTACTTTCTAATGTTTTGCCTTGTGATCAGAAAGTATTTTTGCTATTTCTACATTTTGGAACTTATTCAGAGATTTCTAACCTAACAGGGTGATCTTTTGTGAATAGACCTTTTGTGCACACTGGAAAAAAAATACATTCTCTGTTTTTAATGGATAGAGACTGATATACAGATCTCTCTCACACAACATACACATACATACACATATTTACCTTTGTCTTTGCTGTATCCTAAATTCTTACTTGTTTTCTGAATCTTTGATGTCATGCTGACAAAGGTGAATTAAAGTCTTCTAATAGTACTGCAAAAGAGTGTTTTGTGTTAGTATATGAACTAGTAACGTTCTTATAGTTTTGTTTTGCTTTATCATTTTTTTTGCCCAAAGGTACTTTTATTAAGGGGTAATATACACAAAGTGCATAAAATCTTAAGAGTACAGCTCAATGACTTCTTACATATTTATACAACCATGTAACCAGGAAGGTGTAAAACATTTCCAATGTCTGAAAGGGTACCCTTGTGCCCTTTTCAGTGGGAACCCTTCCCCCTTGCACCCTCCCTGTCCCCCCCTCCAGCCCGAGATAACCACTATTCTGACAGCTAACATCAGAGGATTAGTTTTGCCTTTTCTTGAACTTCATGTAGGTGAGATTGTATCTTTTGCACACTATTTGATTTCCTGTGAGACTTTTTTTTGTGCTTGGTGATTTCTAGTTGCCTTATGATTTCAGGAATACGTGTATTATTTTCCATTGCTTTATCGTTTTCATGCTACTATGTTATACGGAATGCACATTGTATTTATTTTCTTTTGCTGTGTAACAAATTACTACAAGCTTAATGGCTTAAAAAACCATCCATTTATTGTTTGACGGTTTCTGCAGATCAGAAGGTTTAAGCTCTGCTTAGGGTCTCACATGGCTGGAGTTGAGGTGTCGGCAGGGACTGCAATCTCATTTGAGGCACAGGATCCTCCCCTAGGTCATTTGGGTGTTTGGCAGAAATCAGTTCCTTGAGACCGTTAAGATGGAGGGCCACTCTCTTGCTGGCTGTGTCTGAGTACACCTTTCAGCTCCTAGAGGCCATCCCTTGCCACGTGGGCAAGACCTTCTCTCACTCCAACCTCTGACTTCCGTCTCCCACGTTTAGACCCAAACTTGCACCAGGCCCACTAGGGCAACACCCATTTTGATCAACTCAAAGTCAGCTGCCTAATAACCTTTACTGCATCTGTAAAATCCCTTTTGCCATATTATGGAACATTGTCATATCTCATCACAGGCAGAGAGCAGCCCACATCCTGCCTTACCTTTCCAGCTTCATGGGGGAGGGATTTATTCAAAGCATGGTTACTGAGAGACAGGAATATTGGGGGGCATCTTAAAATTCTTCTTACGTAGATTTTTATAATTATTTTGTCTTCATTATGGATTATACATTTTCTCATTAAGTGCTGCTTAAAAATACATTTAATGTTTTAAAGTCTTTTTTTTTTTTTTGAGAGAGAGAGAGAGAGAGAAAGAGAGAGCTCGAGTGGGGAAGGAGCAGAGAGAGAGAGGGAGAGAGAGCGAGAATCCCAAGCAGGCTCCAGGCCCAGTGTGGAGCCCAACGTGGGGCTTGATCTCAAGACAGTGAAATCAAGACCCGAGCCAAAATCAAGAGTTGGAGGCTTAATGGACTGAGCAAGCCAGGCATTTATTTCCAAGTGTGGAATTCAAGTTGTCTGGATTAAGATCTCAACTCCTAATTTGCTGTCACAATTATTTGTGTACATTTTCCTGGAATGCTTTTTTTCCATCTTTTTCTTTACAACCATTTTGAGATCTTTTGTTTTACAAATGTCTCTAGTATGTAGCATATTTCTGGGTTTTATTTGTAATTCAGCCAGATTCTTTACTTCTTTTTTTTTTTTAATTTTTTTGAATGTTTATATATTTTTGAGAGAGAGAGAGAGACAGAGCATGAGCAGGGGAGGGGCAGAAGAGAGAGGGAGACACAGAATCCGAAGCAGGCTCCAGGCTGCGAGCTGTCAGCACAGAGCCTGACACGGGGCTTGAACTCACAGGCCGTGAGATCATGACCTGAGCTGAAGTCAGACGTTCAACCGATTGAGCCACCCAGGCGCCCCAGATTCTTTTCTTCTTATAGGTGAGTTTTGATGTATTTACATAATGGATTTGGGTTTTTACTTTTGTCCTATTTTTAAGTTCTGCTTTTGTTGTAGCTACCTTTAAATCCTTTATGATTTGGTATTTTCTCCCTTATTTTGTGCGTGTGTGTGTATAATGTGATGTGTTTGTCTGTTTCTTTAATACGAAAGGCTTATATTCCTCTTGTGATTATGATTAATATGACTAACTTTTTGTAATGTATTTATTCTTCAAAACTTTAGAGTGAATCTGTCGAGTCCCAACTGTGAGCCAAGATGAAATTTTTGAAATCAACAATGAATTTTTATTTCCTCCCCTCCCTCATTCTCCATATAATTTTAACTGATTACTTAGTGAAACCTTTATGCTTTTCTGTTTATATTACAGTGGACCCTTGAACAACAGGAGTTTGAACTGTATGGGTCCATTTATATGTGGATTTTTTTCAGTGTATACCATAGAGTACTATAAATGTATGTTATCAGTAAGGCTTCCAGTCAACAGTAGGCTATCAGTAGTTAGGTTTTTGGGGAATCAAACATTATATGCAGGTTTTTGACTGGCACAGAGTTTGATGCCGCTGACCCCTGTCTTGTTCAAGGGTTGACTGTCCTTGATAACTTATTAATCCCTAAGCTTTAATAATGAAGAAATCAATGTCCTGACATTACCTTCCCTTTTGTTTTCTAATTTTTATGTTATTAGTTATATCATTTCTATATTTTCAAAGTTTATAATATTTATATTCAGTTCTGAAATAATAATCTTCATTTTCCTTCATTGTCTTAACCCTACATTGAGCTAGATCCACTGTCATCGGCCATGCTTTGCCCATTCATCTCTAGTTGGGTTAAAGTTCATTTTCTGTTAGTCTGTTGAGGAGGGGAATCACGTGAGTTCTTTCATGTTAAAAAATGTTTGTTACATTCACTCTGAATTAAAGTCTGGCTGAGTCACAACATTGTTGGGCCACAGCATCTTCCTCAAGGATTTTAGAGGCTCAGCTCCAGAGTCCTCTAGCATTGAATAGATTAATTGAACGTTTTTCTTTTTCTTGGATTTCCAAAGCATCTTTTCTTTACCTTTGAAAATCACCATTTTCGATGTGATTTCAATCAGCCATTTTCAATGGCTATAACTCACCATTGATTGTCTTGAGTTAATTTTTCTGGGGGCGTAGACTGGTTTTCAATCTATACATTCATGGAAAGTTTTACTAAAATTTGTATTTAAATACTTTCTTCTGTTATTTTAGTTCTCTTCTTTGGTGATACCAATTGTGCTTACATATGATGTCTTAAAAAAATTTTTTTTTTTTACTGTTTCTTTATTTTTGACAGACAGAATGTGAGTGGGAGAGGGGCAGAGAGAGAAGGAGAGACAGAATCCAAAGCAGGCTCCAGGCTCTGAGCTGACAACACAGAGCCCGATGTGGGCCTCGAACCCACGAACCGTGAGATCATGACCTGAGCTGAAGTCAGGCGCTTAACCGACTGAGCCACCCAGGCACCCCAAAAATGTCTTTTAAAAAGTCTTTCTAGCTGACCTCTATTTGTCCTTCCTGCGCCTTATCATGTTCGCAGCAATGTTTATTTTCTTTGTACTGTTTCCGACATGCCCTTTGTTTTTGTAGAATATTTCTCTACTCCATTTCTTTTCTGAGCTGCACTATTCTTCCCTGAATTCTTCTATCTCTATTTTATCCTCACATTTTATATGTAAAATTGTTTCATTGAATTGTAAAGTCTTTGTCATCTGCTCTTTGAAAATATTTTTCTAAAATTATTTGTCATTTATTTTTATATTACTTTCCTGCTTTTTTTTTACAAAGGAATCTTTCTTTGATTCCTTTGTAATCATTACTCAGTATCGAATGAGATGAACTATCCTCCGATCAAATGTTTGTTGGACCTTCATGTGGAGGAATTCTCTTCCTGACCCAAAATTGTGTGTGTGTAAATTTGCTCTTTCAGCCTTATTTTTGATCCTGTTGGCTTCAAAGCTACTACGGAATTTCTCGTATCCATCCTGAGCCCTCTGCCTAGGGCTTATCTTTGTGACTCCTTGCTTAGTTCAGCTTCACCACTTATCCTTGGTTCAAATCCAGAACCAAAGGTTATCCATTCCCAGGGAGGCATGTCTGGATCCAAACATGAGAACAAAAGCCTCATCCCCGAGATGTTGTATGTGTTCACAGTTTAGCTCTTTTTTCATTTGTTGAGTGTCTGCATTGTCATTTCCAAACACTTTGCATCTTACTAAATGAATGTGCCTAGTCTATCCCACCAAAGACTTTGCTTTGGGAAAAATTTGCTCTTTAAAATTCTCATGGGATTAAATACATACATGAATAAATTTTAGGACAGATCTAGGATTTTCTCCCTGATCTGATTTTTGTTATTCTGTGCTTCTATGTGTGTCTGGTTTATTTTAATAAATTGTGATTGGCGTTTCTTAAACTGATGTGCACACTGATTAGTCTCACGGGCTTTTCACCACCTGATGGGTTTGTTTCCTGATTCCTTGAAGTCCAGCTTCATTGAAGAAAATGAAAGGTTTTCTGGATGGGAATTCAATTTTAGACTTTGGGTGCTTGGGTTGAGTCTAAATTTTGTGGGTGCCAGCCAATAGGTGGTTTAGACGGCCATCAGCTAACACAGGAGCTCAAATGCCTGCAAGGCAGAAGAGATGTGGGCAGATGGTGGAAAAGATGATAGACATGAAGTCAGGAGATCAATGAACGAAGATGAACTCTTCCAATCGGCAAATTGGTAAGAACTTTAGAAGAGGGTAGATGGTGAGGTACATCCTCATGTATCCGTACTTGTTTCTTTTTTTTTTTTTTTTATTTAAAAACATTTTTTTTAACATTTATTTATTTTTGAGACAGAGAGAGACAGAGCATGAGCAGGGGAGGGTCAGAGAGAGAGGGAGACCCAGAATCTGAAGCAGCCTCCAGGCTCTGAGCCATCAGCACAGAGCCCAACGCAGGGCTCGAACTCACGGACTGTGAGATCATGACCTGAGCCAAAGTCGGACGCTCAACTGACCGAGCCACCCAGGCGCCCCCGTACTTGTTTCTTTTAACAATACAAACTAAGGAAAGTAGTCACCTGAGAAAGAAGACAGGCTTTTGACTGACTGAAGGGTTAATAGGAGAAAAATTACTTACTTGTGTGTAACCTCTCTGTTATTGGTGATGAGGCACAGTAGTGAAAAGAAACTCAAGTACTTTACCTCTTAGCCAAAAGTAAAACACTCTGTCAACTAAAGGAATCCTTTTAGATATTGTCATTTGTCATGGTAACCATGTGTTTCAGAGATTCCATTCTGGAATGGATGTGGTTCCCTCTCGAAAGTACTGACATGTCCAAGTGGCCACTAATGCTTACTTGTCACTGCTGTAGAGGGAAGCTTCTGGTTCACACATCACCAGCACTGAAAGGCAGTTTTGCACACCCCCAGCCCAACAGAAGCCGGGCAAAGAATATGGATAAAAATTCACAGAAGAGGAACACTGATCAATAACTATTAAGGGATACTTAAGCTGCCTTGAAGTCACTGGAATGTACATAATAAGATAGCATTTCACAACAAATAAGTAAAAATAAAGATACAATTCCCACTCCATAAAATTCATTTTCTAAAAGTTTGCAATTCAGTAGTTTTAAATATATTTACAGAGTTGGGCAACTATGTGTCCTATCCAATTTTAGAATATTTTCATTAATCCCAAGAGAAACCCTATGCCAGTTTGAAGTTACTCACTGTCTCCTTCCCCTAACACCTGGCTATCACTAATCTATTTTTTGTCTCCATGGATTTGCCTATTCTGGACGTTTCATATAAATGGAATCCTACAACATATAGCTTTTCGTGACTGGCTTCATTCACTTAGCATAATGTTTTCAAAATGCATCCATGTTGTGGCCTGCATGGGTACTGCATTCCTTTGTATGGCTGACCAATATTCCAGGGTATAGATAGGCCACATTTGTTTATCCATTTGCCAGTTAATGTAGATTTTGGTTGTTTTTTTACTTTTTGGCTATTATGAATAATACTGTTATGAACATTCATGTACAGAGTTTTGTGTGAACCTATGTTTTTATTTCTCTTGGGTATATACTGGAGAAGGAAAGTTGCTGGCTCATATGGTAGCTTTATTTTTAATTTCTGAAGAACTACCAACCTGCTTTCCAAAGTGGCTTCACCATTTCAGAATCTCATCCGCAATGTCTGAGGGTTCCAATTTCCCCATATGCTTGCCAACACTTAATATCATCTTTTTTAATTATTATTATAGCCATCCCTGTGGGTGTGAAGTGGTATATCTCACTGTAATTTTGATTTGTATCTCCTTTGTGCATGTTTTTATCTACTAATTAGCTATTTGTGTATCTTCCTTGGAGATGAGTCTATGTAAGACCTTTGCCTATTTTTAAATTGAGTTATATTTGTCTTCTTATTGTTGAGTTGTAAGTGGTTTTCCAGATACTCTGGGTACGAGACAATTACCAGATATATGATTTGCAAATATTTTCCCCCATTCTGTGAATTCTTGAAGGGTCCATTGTAGCACAGTTTCTAATTTTAATAAATTCCAATTTATCTGTATTTTTTCTTTTGTTGATTGTGTTTTTGATGTCAGATCTAAGAAAAAATTGCTTAAACCAACTACACTCTAAGATTTAAACCTATATTTTCTTCCAAGAGTTTTACAGTTTTAGGTCTTACATTTAGGTGTTTGATGCATTTTGAGTTAGTTTTAGTATATGATGTAAAAATAGGAGTTTATTCTTTGCATGTGCAATACCTACTTATCTCTACCATTTCTTTTTTTTTAATTTTTTTAAAACATTTATTTATTTATTGAGAGACGGAGAGAGACAGAGCATGAGTGGGGGAGGAGCAGAAGGAGACAGAATCCAAAGCAGGTTCCAGGCTCTGAGCTGTCCGCACAGAGCCTGATGCGGGGCTCAAACCCACTGAGCCGAAGTAGGATACTTAACTGACTGAGCTACCCAGGTGCCCCAATCTCTACCATTTCTTAAAAAGACTATTTTTTTCTCTATTGAATTGTCTTGGCATTCTTATTGGAAACAAACTGACTAAATGGTAAGGGTTTATTTATTTCTGGACTTGGTTCTATCCCATTGATCTGCCTATCCTATGTCAGTACTGTCTTGATTACTTTTCAGTAAGCTTTTCAGTAAGCGACTTTTCAGTAGCTTTTCAGTAAGCTTTAAAATCACTTTAATTTTTTTTTTTACTTTACTTCAAAATCACTTTTACTTTTAAAATCACTTACTTTTCAGTAGCTTTTCAGTAAGCTTTAAAATCACTAAGTGTGAGTCATCCAAACTTGATCTCCTTTTTCAAGATTGTACTGGCCATTCTGGGTCGCTTCCATTTCTATATGCATTTTAGGATCAACTTGTCAGTTCCTACAATGAATACAGTGGGCATTTTGGTAAATATTGCATCAAATCTGTAGATCAATTTGAGGAATGTTGCCATCTTAATGATATTAAGTTCTGATACATGAACATGTGTCTTTCCATTTATTTATCTCACGTTGTTTTGTGGTTTTCAGTCTACAAGCCTTGTATTTCTCTAGTTAAATTTGCGCCTGTTTATACTTTTTAATGTGATTCTGAAGGAAATTGATTTTTCTTAATGTCATTTTTGGATTGTTCACTGCTGATGTGTAAAAATACAAGTGATTTTTATATACAAGATTTTTTTTTTACCTGCAAGTGAAAAGAGTTTTACTTTTTTCTTTCCAATCTAGATGCCTCTTCTTTTTTTTGTCTAATTACCCTGGCTAAAACCTCCAGTACAGTGTTGACTTGTAGATATAGATAGAAGTAGTGAGGGAATTCAATTTTTCACCACTAAGTATGGTGTCAGCTGTGGGTTTTCATAGATTCTTTTTATTAGGTTGAGGAAGCCCCCCTTCTAACCTTAGTTTGTTAAGTATTTTTTATCATGAAAGGATATTAAGTTTTGTCAAATGTTTTTCTGCATCTATTGAGGTGCTCATAAGGTTTTTGTCCTTTATCATATTAACATGGTGTTTTGCATTAATTAATTTTTGGATGACAAATCACCATTGCATTTATAAAATAAATTCCACTTGATCATGGGATATAATCCTTTTTATACGTCACCAGGTTCAGTTTGCTACTCTTTTGTTGAGGATTTTTACATCTATATTTATAAGAGTTAGTGATCTGTAGTTTTATTTTCTTGAGATACCTTTGTCTGGCGTTGCTTTCAGAGTAATGCTGGGCTCACAGATTGAATTGGACAATGTTCAATCTTCTTTTTTGTTTTTGTTTTTGTTTTTTAAGAAGAGTTTATAAAGAATTGGTGTTGATCTGTCTTTAAACACTTGGTAGAGTTCACCAGGAAAGCCGTCTGTTCTTGAGATTTTTCTTTGCAGGAAAGTTTTTGATTAATAATTTAATCTCTTGTTATAATTACATCCAATCTAATTTTTTTCTACTTCTTGAGAAGTTTTGATAGTTTGTGTCTCTCTGGAGATCTGTCCATTACATCTATGTTATTTAGTTTGTTGTCATGCATTTGTTCAGAGTGTTCCCTTATAATCCTTTTGATTTCTAGAAGGTTGGTAGTAATGGCTTCTTACCATTGATTTTAGCCATTTCAGGTTTTCCCTTTTTTCTTGGGCAATATAGCCAATGGTTTATGATTTTGCTATCTTTTCAAATAGCCAAGTTTGGGTTTCAATTAATTTCCTTCCCTCCCCACCATCTCTATTTCATTTATGTTCACCCTAATCTTTGTTTCTTTACTTCTGTTAGCTTTGGATTAAGTTTGCTTTTTTTTTTTTCTCTAGTTTTTAAAGTAGAAAGTTTGTTGTTGATTTGAGATCCTTTTGCATTCTTTATTTTTAAATTTATTTATTTTTTATTTTATTTTTTAAAAAAATGTTTATTTATTTTTGAGAGAGAGGGAGACAGAGAATCCCAAACAGGCTCCACACAGCACAAAGCCCAACAGAGGGCTCAAACTCCGGAGTCATGAGATCATGACCTGAGCCGAAGTCAAGAGTTAGATGCTTGACTGAGCTATCCAGGCACCCCTATTTTTTTTTTAATTTTAGAGAGACAGACAGACAGACAGACAGACAGACAGAATCTTAAGCAGGTTCCATGCTCAGTGTGGAGACTGATGCAGGGCTCAATTTCAAGATTCTGGGATCACGACCTGAGTTGAAATCAAGAGTCGAACATTCAACCGAGCCACCTAGGTGTCCCCTTTTTTCTTCCTTAATATATGCATTTACTGCTATAAATATAGAGATGTACTGAAGGAGCCTGAGTCACGTAAAGATAAGCCCTGTAAATGGTATTTTTCAAGGGGACAACAAACAAATCAAACAGGGGTGGTTATTTGGAGGAATTAGGGGGAAGCTATACTGCCCTTTCTAGCAGCGTCTGAGCTCCTAATTTTCACAGCTACTGTGGTTTTAATGTGGATTTTCATCCTTTTTTTTTTTTTTTTTTTTTTTTTTTTAGTAAATACTCCCTAGATGATTGCAAACCTTTGACTGGTTCCCCAAATTCTGAAAAGAAGTTGATTTTGACAATTTTGCCAGTGTCCTCATCTCTTTTATGGATGAACAGAGTTTTAGAAGTCCTTACTCCACCATTACAAAAGTACCTGCACAATATTGTTTCCAATAGGAAAAAAAAAATACTGTTGGGAAAAAAATTTCTTAAAGAGAATGGACAGATAAATTGTGATCTCTTTATACAATGGAATTCAGTAGTTCAAATAAAGGACTAAGATTATATATCCATACGTGAATAGCTATAAAAAACAAAGTATAGAATGATACCTACAGTACAATAATATTTATATAATTAAAACACACACTGAATAATATTTTTGATGGGTGCGTATATAGAGAGAAAATTGTTTCTACAAAACATTGGCTAGGAGAATAAATACCATATGCATGATAGTGATGGGGAATGGGATTGGAATGAAGGAAAAAAATAAGACCAACTTTTCCCATAATATTTTCTTTATTTTATTAAAGAAAATGGGGACACATGAGTGTATGCTATATTATTTTTGTGCTTTTTTTCTACGTACAAGTTAGGAAGAAAGAAGAAAGTCATAATGGATTAGATTCCTCTGTTCTCTGGGAATTCATTTAACTCTGCCCAATTTTTTGTAATCTATGGGTTGAGAGAAAACAAAAGACAAGAGTAAAATAAATTTCAGTCGAACCACAA